CACTTGGAGGAAGTAATAACAGTGGCTGAGACTGTAATCCAGTTTAAAGGAGGATTATATGACATATATCAGCCTCAAACATTTTTTTTTTAAGTAAGAACAAACACAAAATAAGAGCCACAGTCCAAGTGACAAAATAAATGAATTTAGGATCTTTTAGCTCCCCCAGTATGAACTATTACTCCTCTAGAGAAAGGAAGCAAAGCATTTCATTGTCCTGAAGGACAGCCCCTCAGTTTTTGCCAGTCGTCCTGAATCAGACCATTTGGTGTCTTATTTAGAGATTTAAAAAAATTTAGAGAGGGCCGGCCCGGTGGCGCACTGCTGTAGTGCACTGCTTGGGAGGCGTGGCGGTGCGCTCCCGCCGAGGGTTCGGATCCCACATGCAGACCGGTTCCCGCTCACTGGCTGAGCGAGGTGCGGGAGCAACACCGAGGGCTGCGATCCCGTTGCCGGTCCCGGTCCGGTACAGGGGTGACACTGAGGGTTGCGATCCATTGCCGGACACGGAAAAAGACAAAAAAAATAAAATTAAATAAATAAATAAATAAATAAATTTAGAGATTAAAAAATTACTGGCATATAAGAAAAAGATACCTAATTTTAATAGGGCTTTCTTTTCTCCTTCTACATCTCTGTAGATTGTTTTTCATTACTCTCACTGTCCAAACAGAAGCTACTCTGGCCCCCAGAGATGAGTCAGAGTGCCAGAATTTATGGCAAGACTAGCCTTGAGTCAAGAGAGTGAGCACCTATCTTACTTTGAGTGTTAGTCCTCAGAGGCTCCTGAGCTAATCACATAAAAAGAGTTAATTAAAACAGCTTCTAACTTTCACCAATATTTGACCTCACTGTCCACCTGGGATAGGTCGGGCACAATTGAGCTGACAATGAGGCCAGCCAATTTCTAACAAAAGCAAGGAGCCAGATTTATGAATCTTTGGAGCAGGTCAGCATATACTCACTTTTCTGACTCCCTTGGGCAACTCTCACACAAGGTGGGGCCAGGCCCTCTGTGTTGTGGGAGGCAGCTAGGTCAGGTGTTCCCACCTAGCACTTTCCCCCTCCAAGGACCAGGACACTGAGTCCAGAGTGTTTATGATTATTCAAGAGTAGCTGGGGAAGGACTCCGGGGTGTCCAGTTCCTGGCACTGACACATGTGCCACTCTGCTAATATATCCACCAAGCCCTCATAGAGCAGGTGCCAAAAGCAATCTTTTCATTTCATCCTCCCAACCTTAGCAAGTTAAACTGTAACTATGGAGACATCAGGAAACTATCTGCCTACTAAAACTGTGGTCATGAGCTTCCAAGAGCATCATGTTCTTTCCCAGCCTTGAAGGTAGGCAGGAAATTTCTTTAGAGTAAATCAAATCTATTGTCAACTCAATGATCCCTGATCTCAATGCATAAGGCATCCCTCGTACCCATCCAATAAAGATGGAACCTGGGATGAAGTGAAAATACTTCCCAACTGCAGAGCCCCAGGCATCTTTCTTCCTTTCTACTCACTCATAAATAAAAGGGTGCTATTTATTCTAAACACCATATGGTTTGTGTACCCTGAGAGTTAAATTTTAAAAATTATTTTTATCAATCAGGAAAAGAAGTCACTACTTTAAAGACCCAGTAAATAAGACAGCTCTTCAAAAAGACGCCACAGGCAATGCTCAGTTTACACAACAGCCACTTATCTTATTTCAACTCTGCCTCTTTCACCCTTGATGATACTGGTCATCAACTCAGTTCATGCTTTCCGTCAACATAGACTCCAGCCCAACGAGAGGATCTAGGGAAAGCCCAGGGTCACCTACCAGGAAATACCTTTTAGTAATGTGCCACCTGGACTTGAATTCTAGCTCTGCCCCTCACTGTCTATGTGATACTGGGCAAGTGACTTAGCCCCTCAGAGCTTTTGTTTCCTTATCTAGAAATAAGATCATACACAAAAAGTACTTGGCAGCAAATCTAGCATACAGGAACAGTTAAAAAATAATTCTGGTATATACCTGATCTCATTACTTTATCAACTATACACTTCAGAACCTCAAGCATGCCTGCCTTTAGAAATAAATAAATCATCTATTTATGAGCTAAATATAAATGTTTAGGATTAGCTCTGCTTTTAAGTCTTGCCTTTAGCAAAGATTTATGATAGATGTCTACCCTTATCCATTTAAGTATAGTTCTAATTCTTATCAAAGCCATTTGTAACTATTTCATCCACTACTCCTCAAAGGAACACACTGCAACCAACTAAACCTATCTCCCATTGTTCATCACCACTCACACCTCTTGACCATAGGTCCCTTAATCATTCTGCTCTTAGTATTTAAACTGTCTTCCATACCACTGTCCTTGCTGTATGTCTGTCTTTCCAAATCTTATCCATCCTTAGAAAAGTCATTTCTTCAACTCCATCTCATTTTCTCTAACTCTTATTACTTCCGATGCCATTATGCACAAAATTATATATTTTGATTGTGTTGTTCTCTACTCACCAAATTCATACTTCATCACAACTGAATTGCTCTCTAATTGCTTTGTGCATGTTTCATTCATCTCCCTTACTATACTGTTAAGCTCCTAGCGGGTAGGAATCACATCTTTTATTTCTCTTGAGTCTCCTACTGTACAGTGTACACTGCTCTAAACAGTGCACAGATGTGTTAATATATACTTACTGATGACTATCTATGCCCTATTCTATTCCTAAGGAGCCCTGAGAGGTGGAACTGACTAACTACAGCCCGAAACGCTTTCAGAAGACTTGCCACATGCTTCATATAAATACTTTCTGAATAAGATTCTTAGATTAGGAAAAAAAGGAGATCTCAATTTCTTTTTAGGATCTAAGTTTCACATTTTCAATGCATTATAGTCAACAGTCTTCTTGGATGCTATCTCTAATAGGAAGCTTTTCTCTGTGGTTCTTGCAAATGCTACTTCTAAATGATCTTACAGAGTCCATAAAAAAATTAGATTAACATACCATTAATTCATCAACTTCAAGATATACTTCAATAGCCTCACCACAGTCCAGACCTTCCAAAAACAGCAGCACCTGGTAGGACCTTAATTAAGGCTGGCAGAAAACACCCCACCCCAACCCTCCACCCCACCATCATCAAAGAGTTGGTTAAAAAGCATCAGTCCCTAAAGCAGAAGAAAAGAACTAATGAGTTCACAACTCAGGGAGATGAGTGCACTGCCCTGGCCAGGAACACCAGCCCTCTCCTAAGACTACAGTGACAGCTGAGCCCAATAGCTCACAGCTGGGTAAAGTGCATTCCATTAGAGAAATGACTGGAGCAACTGGTTTTGCCTCTGCCAACCTTCATCTTCCCATTAAAGTCAACTGCCTCAAGTTCCTATTCTAACAAGGCATGCTTAGCCTAGCACTGGCTCATTAATACCCAAAACAGTCATAGACTCTAGAGGGTTAAACTTTTTTTTTTTTAATATCTTTTTTTTTTTTTTACTGACCGGTAACGGGATCGCAACCCTCGGTGTTGTGCCTGCACCGGGGACCGGCAACGGGATTGCAACCCTCGGTGTTGTGCCCGCACCACGCTCAACCAGTGAGCGGGAACCGGTCTCCACATGGGATCCGAACCCTCGGCGGGAGCGCCGCCGCACTCTCCCGTGCGCCACCAGGCCGGCCCTAGAGGGTTAAACTTAAGAAAGAAAAAACTGGAGAAATAGAAGCTTAGAAGAAAATCTTTTATTTATTATTATTAAAGATGTGAAAAGTCTTTCCTCAAATATAGGCAATTTACTGCCTTGCCAATCCAAATCTCTTATATCCTGTACAACTAATGCAACTCCACAAAACCCTTTGTAATGACCATCCAGTCAACCAATAAATCAATCCTTCGTTATCCTACTACTACTGAATGAAGTCCCTCTTACTAGACCTTGTGGCAAAAGAGGATTCACATCACCAGGTTTCTTTCTTGATTTGTCTCTTGATTGAGACTATATTAACCACTGCTCAGAAAAATATTATTCTTACAACACAGCAACTTGCCCCTCAAATAAACATCAACTTTATTTTTAAAATTGAGGGTGAATGCCAACATGAAGCAAGGAAAGACTTAACCATTTATGTGACTATATAGGTGGGATGCTGGGCTTAATGTAGAGCATTATTAGTCTGAGAAGAATGCACAGAAATGCTCACAGGACTCCACCACACGAACCAACTACAATAGTGAGCTTTCCTCATCAGGGCTTTATTCAACCAACCAAAACCAACAACCAAGAACCATCATCACCTTAGCAGAGTATAGAAGATGCTGTTTCATCAACTAGCATAGAGAAACAGATCAAGATATCAAATGCCTAGAAGAGTGTCTCACAAAAATCAGAAGATTTAAAATCACAGTTAACAAACAATTCTCTCACTTATCCTTCACATATGAAGTCAAAATGTCACCTGGGCCACTCTGGATTGTGGGTGAGGAAGTCAGTGTGCAATAAAAGACAGAAAGACATGAATAAAAAGACATGCAAACAGGTAAATAAAGTGAAAGCCCAACAACATTTAGAATAAATAGTTGAGCTTGTCTTTTTCCTCTGAAAAACAAACAAAAACCCAACCTAGAACCAAAAAACAAAGTAGGAACAAATTCCAAATGTGTGTTGTTCTTGCTCTAAGCTTAGTATACATTTATACTGCAAGCATGGCTAATGATATTTGTGACTTTTTTTTTTTAATGCTAACGGTAAATAACTTTGCTCTTTCAATGCCCAAACCAGAGCAGAGAGACAGGATTAACTACAAATGTGGATGAAGCAACATCCACAGGACATGAAGATGGGGGGGAGGGGAGAAGGGGTAGGCTTTTGTGTTGTTACTGTTGGCAGGAGAGCTAAGCAGTCTTAAAGAACCTCCTCCGGGGAGTGGCAGTCTAGGATTCTAGGTTTGCCATGAAGGGGTATCACGAATCCCAAGGCCCACCACCTACCCCTTCTCCTCTTCTCCGAGGGCACCTACCTTACTGTAAGTCACTACTGATAAGTTGTTTGCGTGACTGCTGGGGGACAGATTTACAGAGTTCTGTGAGAGTCTATTCTGATCTTGCTCGGTTTGGTCAGGAGCAGGAGCCCATGTGTTTTTGCTGATCGAGTCGAACCCGGAACCCCCAGGGTCTTTTAAGTTGTTTTCATCTGATTGTCGGTTCTTTTGGGGAGAGGCAAACGGGTTGAAGTTTCCTTCTACCTTGCGATGTGGCTGTGTGTTGAACTCCGTTTCAAAAGATGACAGCTGCTGCGTTACTCCTAAAAGTCCACCCACCTCCACACTGAGAATCACCCAGATGACATCTGAAACAAAAAGGCAACTCATGTCAATACCAGGCATATCCTTGAGGGCTAAGGCAGCCACCACCATACATCATCCAAATCATAAAAAGAAATGTTCTTCTATGTGCTAGTTTTACACGTTTGCTGACGAAGCTGCCCTGTACATTTGCATTGCGTGCATTTCTACATTTCTAGTAATGTCAAGTTCAAACTCTGGTACAAATTCAGTAGAGGTCTGTGGTGAGATCCATGAAATTCTATTTGTAAAAAGCTTACCAGTTGATTCTGATACACAGCCATATTTGGAAATCATTACTCCAGAAGACAATGATAAATAGACAGAAACTGAAAAGCTACTGTTCCCAGAATTAACAGCTCTTTGTAGTTTTTGCTTTATTTTGCATGTGTTTAACTCAGAAAATTCAGGGCAGGCATAATTCTTGAGTCAAAAAACACTTAGAATTACTAAAATTTAACTTATCACCTTCAACCCTTTTTGAGGCAATTTAGAGTGACCATACATTGTCCAAACTAGGACAGTAAAAGAATGAATTATTAAATTAACAGCTGTTAATAATTACACCAAGACATAGGTGTAAGCCAGTAACCTAGACAAACTGGGACATACTTTCACCCTGGCTATTTTTTCAACCTATGTGATTAAAAGACACCATGAATTTGGTATACCTCAGACTTTCTAAAATAAACAATTTAATACCAATTTGCTTTTCTGTAATATTGGGAAACCCTACTAAATATCCATACTGAAACTGTAATAGCTTTTTTTAAAAAGATGCACCATAGGACATTTGATCATAATTCAGTCCCTGACTCCCTCAACTGCCAAAGCTAAGGGTTCAAATAGAAAAACAAATAGAGTAGTAGTATCCTTTGATGTTCAGCACCTCACTTCAGAGAACAGTGGCATCTACATTCCTGCTGGAAGATTTTCAAAAAGCAAGCTACAAAAAGGCTAAGAAGCTTTTAAGCATGTGAACTCTGCTGAAAACAAATATGAAAAATTGTCTAGGCTCCTAAATAACTGTTGAAAGGTTGATAGGAAAAGGCAAATACATTTCATCAGTTAGTTACCTGGAAATACAGATAATATATAAGCCTAGAACAAATAACGACAGTGACAGAAACCGAAGAAAACCCTCTTAGGCTGTGTTTCTTCTCAATTTTTAATTTGAGTTCTGTATCAGAAGAAGTGGATCTTAGACTGCCATACAGACATAAATATTCAATCTAAGTTTAGTGGTTTGGGAGCTATATTAAGAACTGGTTTTACCCAAACATATAAGAGCCAGACCCTAGTTAAGTGGAGATACACTGACATCTGCTGTTCATATCTGGAATTAGCAACTCCTTTCACCTCTGAGAAGCCACTAATTTTACTAGCATCACTAGCATGACTCATAGGAATAGGGCATCTATATAAATCCTCGTGTAAACTAGCACCATAAAATTTAAAACTTTTCATTTAACACTGTACATGCAGTGTGCCACTTCATTTAGAAATCTGGGACAGTGTCAGAGGACTTGCGTTCAAGGCTCTAAAACAATCTTGTAAACCAATATGATGTGGGCTTTAAAGAAAAATTCCTTCTGGTAATGGGTATGCCCCCAGTATGAATCTGGCCCTCACATCAGGAAAAAAAAAAGAAAGAAAAATTCCACGGCAGGCAGCCTGAGGGAGATTCATTCCATCTCTCCTATCCTAGCTTTCTAATAAAGGCAGCATTCCTTTACTCAACTATTCATTTTTCCCAAACAGATATGCCCTGTCTTATAGTACATTTATTCCTACTTCTTGTTACCCCCAATCTGTTTTACAAATTCATTTGGAAGTACAAGATAGTTTTAACATACTCAGCCACAGGTTAGACGCTTCATTCTCTTAGCTCAGCAAACTAAATGCTTATGAGAAAGGACAGTCCTCTGAAAGCTGTTATCAGTAAATGAGATTAATGACATTTCCCCGCCTGGCTTTGAGAACTAAAGCACCTTTAATATAACTCACTGGGTCTTACCATGTTTAAGCCACCTCATTCTCTTTGCGTTAGCTATTGCTCTATACTGTTCACAGATTCCACATAATAGCTGTGAAAGGAAGGTCATTTGAGAAACCACTGATTTATAAACCAACAATAAAACACCAGTTCTGATCCTCCAAAATTATTACCATAATGGGTCACCATGAACAGCAAAATATGCCTTCTACATGGTACAATCTCAGTCATCTAAGTACCACTTCTAGACTCAGATTCCAGAATGCGTTCACCCCCTGCACAGTGTGTGTGTGTATTATTTTATTTATTTATTTTGTCCTTTTTGAGACCAGCCGCACCGTGCTCAGCCAGTGAGCGCACCGGCCGGCCATCCCTATATAGGATCCGAACCAGCAGCGGGAGCGCTGCTGCACTCCCAGCGCCGCACTCTGCCGAGTGCACCACGGGCTCGGCCCTTATTTTTAATCAAATAAACAAAAAAGATAAAGATGGACCAATAGGCTTGTTTAATAGGTTGACCACTCCCAATTCTTGCCAGAATGCTTTGATTACTGAGATAAGAACTAACTGCTAGCCAGATTATTTTACCATCTGTGATAATGAAACCATAGCTGGAAGTGATCAACCAATGAAACTGCTTTACTTTCTAGATAAAGGAGTTGAGGTCTAGAGGTAAAAGTGATAAGCCCAAGGTCAGACTTCAAGTTAGAAGCAGATTGAGAACTCCCAGATCTCAGTATAGCTCTTTATTTTTATTTATTTTCTTACTGGAACATAGTCAATTGTACAAATCTGTGGGGTACAGCACTGAATATCAACACCTGTCAGCAACATGTGATGCTCAAATCAGGATAATCAGTATATTCAACATTATACAATGTAATAAATTTTCATGGCCATTTACCAGTATAGCTTTTTAAACTCACACCTATTTCTCCCCAACAGGAACTTGGGAACCCAAGTACCCAGGGAACTAAAGCTATGGTTAAGTAAGTCCCATTTCCCAGGCCCTATTATCTTCACCCACAGACATATGATCTTTGGCACCAATAACAAGAATGAGCCAACGACATGTCCCAGAAAAGTAGCCATGAAGGTAGAATCAAGTGCCAAGCTAATGCAGTCAGGACTCAGTAAGCAAATGGAGAACCTCATTTTAAAATGTCTGCCCTTAAGACAATTTTTTTTAAAAGCACCTGAGCCAGAACTTTGGAGCTAGAAGGTACTATTATCTCATTCAACTTGTTCCTTTTACAGATGACAAAGCCTTATTATTAAAGTATAAACTTCCTTTTGTAGAAATAGATAATAGATCACTAAAGAGAGAATGCAACCCTCTTTTCATATCTTCAGCTCAGACTATCAGAAGTGTAAAGTAAAAGGAAAATATTTTACCTGGAGCCCACATCCATAATCTTAATGAATCATACCGACACACAAAGACATCTCAGATTATGGTAAAAATGTCAAAAACATCTGCATATATCTAAAAACTAGCAACACAGGTCAAATCACATCATAATAAGCATAAACAAGTATCCACAATTTGTCCAGTAAAACAGAACTTCTAAAAATCAGTGCAATATTCCCAACTGGTATATCTGTTTCTCCATAGGACATGGGTTAACAACTCAGAAACTGTTGTACACATATACCAGGGTTGAACAAATAAGTAAATGGATGGTAGATGTTGGGAGCAAGGCTTCTCTTTGTTGAAGAAGTATACTACAGAGAAGCAAAAAAGGAAGGCATTCTAAAATGAATCCTGGGGTACTGAATTAAAGTTAGAAACGTCAATATAAACTCTTGGTTAGCTTAATATACATACAGATGAAGAAATATAGAAACAATTATAGATTTACATCTGTATACAAATATTAGTATGCTTATATACATTATCTACCTCTGTTTGCTGAGAGGGCCTAGAAATTATGAAACCCCAGTAGCAATGAACATACCCAATGCTGATATTTTGGTTTCTAAATACCACTTTCCAATAAAAAGAATTTTGCTTGAATAAATGGATGGTTCTAGAGCTAGGGCATGGAAAATATAAGATAAATATGAAGCATCTTGCAGTACCAGAAAGGAAGTGGTCAAGAACGAAAGGATAAGGGTATGTCACAGGGACACAGGAACTAACCTAAAAGAGCTCCCTCTGGCCAAAGCTGGAAAAATTTGAACAACAAAATAACATAGGATTGAATTATAAACCAAAATATAAAACCAATATATGTGAGTCCATCATGATATACATAAATGACTAAATAATTGGGAGAGAACAGCCAAACCTCCTTACAGAGGAATTCAAAACAATATATATAGATACTACCCCTTCCAAGCTGCACTCCCAGCGCCGCACTCTGCCGAGTGCACCACGGGCTCGGCCCTTATTTTTAATCAAATAAACAAAAAAGATAAAGATGGACCAATAGGCTTGTTTAATAGGTTGACCACTCCCAATTCTTGCCAGAATGCTTTGATTACTGAGATAAGAACTAACTGCTAGCCAGATTATTTTACCATCTGTGATAATGAAACCATAGCTGGAAGTGATCAACCAATGAAACTGCTTTACTTTCTAGATAAAGGAGTTGAGGTCTAGAGGTAAAAGTGATACCCCCAAGGTCAGACTTCAAGTTAGAAGCAGATTGAGAACTCCCAGATCCCAGTATAGCTCTTCATTTTTATTTATTTTCTTACTGGAACATAGTCAATTGTACGGCTAGACTTAGTGATTTGCTTCCAAAGAACAGAGTAGGGAAAGAGAAAAACAGTAACTTTACAGTAGAAAACCCTGGCAAATACACTACTTATCCTAGTGATCAAGGACAACATCTGTAGTGATGTTAGGTGACTATAAGGTACCCCCTGATAGGGCACTTCATCTCTGTGGTATTCTTCCTGAAACTCAGTTTAATCATAAGGAAAACATCAGATAAGCTCAGATTAGGGGACATTCTATAGGATACTTGCTGGAGGAGACTGCAGACACAATAACTAAGTGTAATGTA